CCAGATATTACGGTAGCAAATCACCCGGTTCTTTACGACCAGAACTATTTACCGGGATGCAAACCGGAGGAACCAGGCATGGAGGGAGGTGGCAGAGACAGTGGGTGAAACTGGTAGGTTTTTCGCCTGTTTGGAGAGTTTATATCCAGTTTACTTAGTTTTAACATTGCTATTGCTTTGTATGTCGGGGGCGGGAGATTCATGTGATTGGTTGTTGGTCGCGTTGCTCGCAAAAAATCGCCAAGCTTCAGACACGCCCAGCTTCAAGATTTTTTTATGCCTGTAGTGTAGACGGGCCGTTACTCTCTCTCTTCTCTTGATCGCCCTCTCTCTCTTCTCTTTAAAAAGCTGAATATTTCAAAAAGTATGAAATATTTTTAAAAAGTTGAAGGTTTCCCATCGATTCCTGAACAGGCTGAATAGTTTAATATTTGAATGGTTTCTGTAGCTGAAAATAAGCTGAAGTTATGGAGAGCCAAAGTATTGGTGAAATAATAAGGGGAAGAATAAAGATTTGAAGAACTATAGTGGAATGCTGTGGCACAGCATTCGCGCTAATTACAGAGTGTAAGACAATGTAAAAGAAATACAGAGCGGCTTGTCATCCTGTGTGTGAGTGTAACAGCTGTGCAGTGTAATAAAAAGTGTTTCCTTTGCTTGGTGTCAGGTTGGAGAGCTTACTGCATCCCTGCAAAGCTCACTGCAGCAGGTGTCCACTGTCAATAAGAAGCTATCATTGAAAGAAGAAGACATCGAAACGCTTCAGAGTGGTACATACACGCACACGCACGCACGCACGCACACACACACTAGCTCTCACTCTTCACATCCTTTAAAAAAAATGTCCACCTGCAGTTCCTGTGCTTCCATAGTCAGGTTAAAGGGTTAATTGGGATTGTTTTGCAGTTCTGTTGTATGAGGTGCTTGTACAGTATTTTCACGGCTTTCTCCTGCTGTGGGACAGCTACACAATCTATATGTTTCAACGGGGAACTGAAAAAGTTGTCTTGAGTCCATTGAAAAGAAGAAAATCTATATATTTTCTAACATCGCAGACAACGGGGGATGCTTGTCCAAGGCTGCCTCCGTCACTGTTGTATGTGTGACTTTGGCTTCAGTTCCCCTTCAGAAACTAGTCATCTGATTTCACAGTAATATGCCTTTTACTCTACATGAAATAAAACGCATGGATTTCATGAGAGAATTAACGTTACATGAAGGTCTCAACGCTGTTTCTTTTCCAACATTCCGAGACTGAAAAACACTATTGGAGCTTTGAATACTTATAAGCATCTTTGATCTAAGAGCAGTGTTACAGGCTTTTTAAATTGAAATGCTTGCACTGAGAGTAGCCAAATCATCTTAGAAGTGGACTTCACAAGACAATTAAAACATTGTTAGAACATTAAGTTTTCTTTAGGTTGCTAGTCACTCTGCAGGTTTTGTCTTTATAAAAGTGTTAAATGTAAAGTCTTGGATTTTAAATGGTTCTTTAAATAAAACATAATTTTTTCATAAATGATGGTGCTTATGTGTGTATGTGTTGCAGAGGTGCAGTGCCGGCAGGCCTCCCTGGAGCAGCTGCAGGCGGAGGTGGAGCAGCAGCGAGTGCAGTTGGCGCAGGTGGAGCTGGACAAAGACTCCCAGCTCAGCAGCCTGAGGGAGGAGCTGCTCAGCCAGACTCAGCAGCTCGATACCTGCCAAGCTCGGGTCAGCACCTACACACAGGGTCACACACAGGGTCACACACAGGTTCACACTCAGTGTACACACACAGAGGGTCACACACAGTCTCACACACACACAGTGTCACACACAGGGTCACACACACAGTCACACACACAGGTTCACACACATGGTCACACTCAGTGTACACACACAGAGGGTCACACACAGTCTCACACACACAGGGTCACACACACATGCATTCATACTCTTGTATGGCACATCCTGTCATTTCTAACGCGAAAAATACATTCAGGAAGACCAGTATTCAATATTAGAAGCTCAAGTTTTAAAGGATAGTTTGGTTGTTGTGAAGTGTGGTTTTATGAGTTACTCATCCATAGTCAGTGTATGACCTACAGAAGATGGCGGTCGGCACACAAAACATCCAAACTATTCCATTAAGAGATAAGTTTGACGTTCAAAATAATGTTAATTTCCCATTTGTTTTTCATACCTGTAAACACATTTATTACATTCTCTTTGAATGGGCCACCATCTGTTTACCCATACCTTTTTAAAAGTATGTAACCACAGTTAAATGCATGCATTCATTAGGTAGAAGTTAAAAAGTATTGGCATCAAATTATATTTGAAACACTAAAACTAAAAATACTCATTATGCCAAATGTATTGTATTGTGGGATTATAATAAGAGATGCATTAATGTGTTGTTCATTTACATTTTAAGGTGTAGCTTATTTAAATTACTTTGTATACTTTTGGGCATCTTAATCCATAATAATATATCATAATAATAAGCATGAGACTTCAATTTGCATTGCAATAACTACACTGTAGCTACCGTGCTACCTCCGAAGTAACTAAACTTGTTGTCAAAATATAGTATCGTGAGAAGTACAATAGTTAATTTCTAAAGAAAGTGGAGTAAAAGTATTTGAAATGTTAATACTCAATGAAGTACAAGTACTTCAATATTGCAGTGAGTACAGTCCTTCAATAGATGTACTTACTTTCAAACACTGGGTCAGTGCCACTGATGGAACTTGAAGGATTGGTCCATGTGGTTTGCTTTCTGTTGCTCAGATCTCGTTCTTGGAGGTGGAGGTGGAAACGTTGACCGAGCAGCTCCATAGCCCTGAGGTGTGTGAGGAGGATCAGAACGGCAGTGTGACGGTGGATGACCTAGATCACATCCACAAGGTCAACAGAGACCTGGAGCAGCAGCTCACTGAGAAGAACAGGGTTGGTTATCTTTTTACTCCACTCTGTTCCTCCAGCTTTTAAACAATTATTCATAATGAACGCATACCTGCAGACACACATAAAACACACTGTCATTGTTTTGCAGACCATCAAGCAGCTGCAGCAGAGACTGGCAGAACTGAAGAGGACGCTGCAGAAGGAACTGGTGAGATACACTGACGATCTTCTTAGGTTCACTGTTTCCTTTTCACAATATGTCTGCAAACTGTGAACACGTCTTGATAAGAGAGAACAGAAGCCCTGAGAGGCAATTGAGAACAACATTCTAATGATGCATGTACAACAGGTTAAAAAAAGTTTCTTATTTCTTTAAAAAATGTCATCTATGGAAACAGGTTGATTACAAATGTTGACCGTAGTGTTTCTACTAATTCCGTCACCATGTGTTTGTTTCTAGGTGAGTTTTAATGTCTCCAGCACTCCAAACACAATGAACATATATTGTATTTTGTTACATCTGTTGTATCTTAGTTTTGGTTTTTCTCCACTGGTACTTCAGTCATAAATACAGGAGTGAAAATCATTTAAAAAAAGACTGAAAGAAAAATCACCAGAATGTATTTATAGTCCTCTCTTGCCTCTGTGGCCAGTCCCCCCTGTTCTTTATATATTGGTGAAACATGCACAAGTCATGTGATCTGGACAGCTCTTAATGTTTCTGAGTGGCCCAGCCAGAGCCCCGTCTAATGCCCAGTAGGGGTGTAACGGTTCACAAACATTTAGGTTCGGTACGTACCTCGGTTTTTAGGTCACGGTTCCGTTCGGTACGTTTTCGGTAAAGCACAAAAAAGTATCACAAAACATAAAATATACAGTGGGGCAAAAAAGTATTTAGTCAGCCACAAATTGTGCAAGTTCTCCCACTTAAAAATATGAGAGAGGCCTGTAATTTTCATCCTAGGTACACTTCAACTATGAGAGACAGAATGGGGGGAAAGCATCCAGCAAATCACATTGTAGGATTTTTAATGAATTAATTGGTAAATTCCTTGGTAAAATAAGTATTTGGTCACCTACAAACAAACAAGATTTCTGGCTCTCACAGACCTGTAACTTCTTCTTATGAGCCTCCTCTGTCCT